ATATATATAAATATCTCTTTATTTTCTTATTTTTCCTTGTGGAATTTTAACAATTTCAAACCTTTCAACATTCCCAATCCTTTTCATGTATCATTTCTTCAAAATTTCCCTCGCCTCCCATATGCTTCTTCATTTGTTGCTCGAATTGTGCACGAAACCCATCCTGCGAAAGTAGTTGGCTTCCAGCAACCACCACCCCTACTTACATAACATAGCCAAATTAAAATCTTTAGTCCTAAATCCTAGCCCGCCATCTTTTTTCAATTTTGTTAGATACCCTAGAACCATCCAATGAATATTATGCATATCTTCCGTACCGCCCCACCAATATATCTTCCCATGATCCTGTCTAGGTCCAAGCATAGAGTAACTGGAAGCTTGAAAAGGCGTCACCTAAGTCGGAAAAGCTTGCCAGACAAACTTGATTAACACCATTCTACCAACTCTGGATAAGAGCTGCTTCCTCCATACTCACCCTGCCCCAAAGACTACGCCCAACAGTAATTAATATTTCTTTAATAATAAATGAATAAAGAATATAATATTAAATGATAAATACATATTATTTTTTTTGGTTAAAACCCCTTTTTGGTTCTTGAACTATTATACGGACCTCCGATTTGGTCCCTAAACTAAAAAAATCTCTGATTTGGTCCCTACTGTTTACCATTTTTACCCTGATTTTGTCCTTCCGTTAAAAATTGTGTGACGTGGCCTGTTACTTCACGGTTATCAAATGACATGTCATATAATAGTCCACGTGGAAGATAGTATAGCCAAAAAGTGATGATGTGGAAAAAAGAATAATATAAAAAAATATTATAAAAAATAAAATTTAAATTCTTTTTTCTTTTTTCTTTTTTTTTTTCCTTTTTTCTTTCTCCTTCTCTTTTCCCTTTCTCTTTCTCCTTCCCTTTCCCCTTTCCCTTCTCTTTCCCCTCAGAACCCAACAGGCCTGGGTTCTTGATTTGCTAGGTTTGATTTTTTTTTTAAATATTTATGTTTAGAAGCTTGAATTTTATGGATATTTTTGGGTTGCAGCTGATTATTTTGCTAGTAAATATTTTGTTTGTGTGGACTGTTCTCATTGAGAATTTGGCAAATTTTGGTTGAGGGAAAAAAATTTGCCCAGCAGATCACTGGGTTCGATCAAGAACCCAACCATCTGCTGGGTTCTCAAGAACCCAGCGAGGGTTCAATTTCTTTTTTTTTTTTTTTTAATATTTATGTTTAGAAGCTTGAATTTTGGAAAAATATGTCATGATATTTCTGAGTTTTTTTGGGAAGGTTGAAA